AGAAGAGAAACCATCCACCACAACCCTAGACAAACGTTGACCCAGGTAAGAAGAAAACCATTCAAGAAGTTTACCGGTGATACCAAACAGAGAAAGTTTATTTAGCAAGATCCTATGATCTACGGAGTCAAAAGCTTTACTTATATCTGTATAAATGGCATCTACGGACCCACGCGCGTCAAGAGCATCGGTAACAAACGCCAAAAAGGATACCAGGCTTGACGTTGTAGAACGAGATGAAAGGAAGCCAGACTGTTGGGGTGAGATTAATTGATTAATATGCCAGGCCAAGAGACGACACAAAAGAGACTCAAATACCTTAGAGAACACTGACAATATTGATATGGGTCTATAGTTTTGCACCAAAGAACCGTCTCCTGATTTAAAAATTGGGACAATTGTTGCCTCCTTCCAAGTTGATGGGAAAACACCGGTTCTCAGAGATGCATTAAAAATGATTGTGAGAGGTAAAGAGAGTGGTTCGCAGCATTGAACCACAAATGCTGAAGGTATACCATCCGGACCGGCACTCTTCTTCCGATCCAACCGCTTTATAACTTGTTGAACTTCTTCCTGAGAAAATTGAACAATACCAAGAGGATGAGAGCTGAGAGAGGAATCGTCTGTGCATTCCTGTGAAGAGAAGGAATCTGAGCTGCTCTTATGAACAGAAGCAAAGTAGGAGGCAAATAAATTACAAATTCCATCCCCTCCTGTAGCTTCGCAACTCCCAGATCTCATAGATGTTGGGAAAGTACTAGTGTTTCGCCTTTTATTTTTTATGTGCGTCCAGAACAATTTAGGATTTTCTGACAGTGACCTCTCTATATCGGTAATATATTTTATGTAAGTACTGTTCGTTAGATTTATACATCTTTTTTTTAGTGTACACAGAGCCAGCTCATCTAATGGGTTTTTGTATTTTGTTACTTTTTTTCTGAGTTTGTGTTTTTCATTTAGAAGGCGAATCAGTTCGTTCGTATACCAGACCGGATAATTACCTTTTGCAGGTTTGCATTTTGGTACATGCTTGGCTATAGCCACTTTCAATATTTTATAAAATTTATCCACCATTGCATCTATGGAGTCATTAGATGAAAGGGTAATCTCCCAGGGCGTTGAGTTTAAATCATTGATTATTTTGTCAAAGTCAGCTTTGTAGAAATTATATTTTTCTTTGGTAACTGTATTGGATGATGCAGATGAATTTTGACAATAGATTGCGAATTCCAATGGCGGGTGATAAGAATCGAGATTACTTAACGATAGGTCACTACGTTTCACATTCGAGATCCCTGTGTTAGAAAGAACAAGGTCTAAGACTTTGTCGTCCTTGTTCAGGATGTAATTATGTTGAGTCAGCCCATTTAACGCCAAAAATTCTATAAGAGATTTTTCATACATACTCTTGGCACCAAAAGAGGATCCAAACGACGAAGTACCGCTACTATCGTTGTTGTTCCAATCAATACCGCTGAGATTAAAGTCACCCAAAATTAAGGTTTTTTTATTCGAATCCAAAACGTTATTCGTATTATCTATAAAATGGTCAAGGATATCTTTTTGAATTGGCGACGGGAGGTAAACACTACATAGTAATAATTTTTGACCTCTACGGAAATCTAATTCCACCCATAAGTCCTCGCATTCACTTTCAAATCCAGGCACCCTGCGTGAGCACATACGTTTTGTCACGGCAATGAGTACCCCGCCACCTGATTTATTTCTGTGGAATCCAGTCGTCTCACGATCGCGTCTGTACACTACATATCGATCACTAAATAGTTCACAGTCAAAAATGGTGCTATTCAACCAAGTTTCACATAATACTATAATATCGTAATCACAGCATAGTACATTTTTATAAAAAGCAGAGGTCTTTGTACGAAGACCTCTGACGTTTTGGAAATATACATTTAAGGTATGCATTTTTAAATCGTAACAATAGTACACAATGTTCAATATTACTATAATTGTAAAATTGTTGTAATTTTGCTTAATTAGCAAAATTATAACAATTTTTCAAGTGTTGACGAGTCACGTACAAACACGTATTCAGATGTGTCGGTTTTGCGCATATATATGCGACCGCCGCGAACCCAAACATACTTGTAGTGCAGTTCCTTAGCCCGCATCCGCGCCGCGGCGTGAAGAACTTTATTCTCCGGCGAAAGGTTTTCAGCCACGTAAATGTCCACCTTCCTTTCTGTCTGCTGACCCAGATGCCCCGCGTTTAATTTGTCCTGTGGTTGTTTTTTATTATATTTTATAGCAGCCGCCAAGAACATGTCGCGCGAACGCGGACTATTAAGTTTGATTAAAATGGAACGCGGTCTGGGACTCTTAGCATCCTTTTTAGCAATGCGTGAACAATACAAAATATCAGACTCTTTGATGGGGCACGAAATCACTTTAGCGAGCTGAGTAACCATTGTAATTACGTTTTCCGATTTGCGTTCGGGAACACATTGTATTTCCAAGTTAGATGCCCTGGAAATCTGTTCAAGTTGGTTGAATCGGCTGGTGATGGCGTTCAGGTCACGACGAAGCGCTTCATTTTCTTTTGTAATAACGGTAATTTTATTATTGCACGTGTTGACATCAGCATGAAGTTTTTCGAAGGAATCGTTCATGAAATTTATTGATTCCGTGAGCGAACCGACTTCATCCCTAAAAGCTTTTAACTGTTTGTTTATATCGCCTCGCAAATCATTGATGCATTCCCTCACGATGCCGCGAATTTCATCCCGCACTATGGCGCGCAGGTCCGAACGAGAACAGGTAAGTGCATCATCTGAGGTGACTGAAGATATACCAATGCAGCCGCCGGACGACAACTCGTTAGGCGGCTTCCGTTTCTTGTGACGCGTAGTAACATTAGCGTGACTACTGATGTTGCCGGGTGTTAAGGGCCGAACAGGCGTATTTTTGTTATCGGATCTAGGTTTTTTATTGCGACATTCAGGACAAAGCCAGTTTTCCTTGACTTCAGCAGACAGTTTTTCAAAATCACCAGGCGTTACATTGATGCACAAACTGTGATAGGAGGAATTACACTCGCAGCAATGCAAGCAATATGCATCTTCAACAGTAGATTGACAGGCGGAACATTGATCCATTTTGTTGGAAGTTTCGCAGTAATTGTCCTATTGTAACTATAGTGAAAAAATAGGGTGGTTTGCATCAATATTAGACATATAGCAATGATTTTTTTAAATATAGTATACGATATATTCGAATGGTTTTGATTTCGTTAGTAAAAAAAATAATTTTGAAATAAAGCCAGTGTCCCTGCCACTCGACCCAAGCAAAATGAACCGTATTAGTACGGGACAAATTTGAATTCGAATTGAAGTAGTATAGACTCTTAAGCTTCGACTGTGTGACAAACTTACTGGCGAATGATCGCTCGCAGCCGCGAAGGTACGCCGCCGCCGAGCGGGAGCGGATAATTCTGATCCCTGCACTAAATTAGAAATGAGGTGATAATCTTTAAACAGCTAAACGTATGTTATAATTATTAATACAAAGATCGTACAATCAAAAAAAAATTAAAAAATAACAAACTAGTGTATTAATTTCACATGAAATAAACGACATAATCTCAGTACAGAGTACTAAAAAAACCGACCTCAAAAGAACGTGGAATTACGTCTATTTGCTAAGTTTTATTGAAATATCCCCTAGTTCGCCACTATACAGGACTTGACACTGGAGATAATAAAAATAGGTTCTCATTACGACACTACTCAAAATAAATGGAGAGAAAAACGCCTTGAATTGGAGAAATAGCAAAATCAACCATTAAAGTAATTGCTCCTAGATTAAAGTTAGGCGCTATTTATAAAAATGAATCTTCATGCGTGAACAGCCCCCTTCGATGTGGATGATTTTCTTCAAAATGAAATGGGACCACTATGGAAGTATCACCTTTCCAACAAAAAAAGAATCATGAAAATCGATTCACAAATACTGGAGTTATCGCGTAACATACATACAAAAAAAAAGAACATACAGTCGAATTGAGAACCTCCTCCTTTTTTGAAGTCGGTTAAAATATAATTGAATATCAATTCAATAAAAATTTAAACGCATTTTCTTCGAACACAGTTATGAATCATCTTGATTATATTAGCCTTTAAAAAACCGCTTTGACCAGTCCATCCTTTTCGGATCTACGATGTCACCTACAGATACACAGACAAACTTATGACTACCCTTTTCTTGCGTGGTGTTAAAATACCTGTTACAAAAGAGTTACCTATATATTTTCTTCATTTATCCACACAAAAACACAAATATGGCGTAAAATTTTTATCAGAGTAAATGAAGAGAAATCTGAAACCCAAGCACTGTAAACGACTTCATCTGTTACAATATAAATTGAAAGATGTCTGAAAGTCAATGTAAACAAACCTTAACTAATAATATTGCTTAGAAAATTTAAGAAAGTGTTTATGATTTGTTATTTAACTAATTTATACATGAATAAGTTTAATAAAGTTTGATCAGGTGATAAAAGGTCATTGCTCTAATGGCTTACGTACATTTATATAGACAGGGATATGTCCTAAAGCATGCCGCGGTATCCTTAGGCATTCCGCTGCATCTCTCTTTAGATCTTTGCCCCTCTGCCCTGGATATCCGTGTAGTCGTGCTCGGCATCCCAAAGCCTGCCGATGTATCCGAAAGGCGGCCGAAGCATCTAAGCTTTGTTTTTGTAGCTACGACCAGTTTCATTGAAATTTCAATTGTAAAGCCAAACCGTTAAAGTTTATTACCTTTCGCCACCCAAAAATCTTCTGGCGAGCTATCCAGTCAGTAGTAGCGTGGCTTAGGAATTTCGTGGCCGACACTCAATAAACTAAAAATTAAAAATAATGTTTTTGACCAACTGCATTTAGCGGTTCTTCTAAACCCTTACCATGTCAATGTTTCACATTGTAAAGAGTGCTGGTGGAATCCAAAAAAAAAAATAAACTTCAAATTTTTCTTCGCAGGCAATGTATTCGTGATCGCAGCCATTATCATCGAGCGAAACCTACAGAACGTAGCTAACTACCTAGTCGCTTCCCTTGCCGTTGCGGACCTGATGGTCGCCTGCTTGGTCATGCCGCTGGGAGCTGTTTACGAGGTAATTTAAAAAATATGTAAAATAGACGAATGGAGGAGGGAAGAACGTCATGTAACGAGAAGAGTATCAGATATGAATGTACTGAGATATAAGGAGAAAGGAAGGCCAAAGAAAAGATGGATGAATTGTGTGAAAGATGACATGGACAAAAAAGTGTGAATATGGAAATGACGGCTGATAGGGGAGAGTAGAAGAATAATATACATGTTGTGCCAACCCCACCTCCTAGCGTGGTACAAGGACAGGAAGAAAAGAGAGAGGCGAAGTTTTGGCCACAAATCTCACATATGATCACCGGCAATGTTATAAGTTTGTCACGATGCCTATTCACTCTAGCCTAAAATAGCCCTAAATTGTAGCTTTATCGTAAGGACACAGTCCCTTGTCCCTAATATTTCGCAAGCTATCTAGCTATCCCTAACCTTCAATCTTGAAAAAGACCTGTCTGTATAAGCAGATAACCCCTAACATCGTGGTAAAACATGCAACGAAAAGGAATATGTATAGTGGCTAACAACAAAACAAATGTGAATTGTACTGTAACATATTAGAGGAGTTAAAAAGATGATAAGATCACTTCAAGGCCAAGAATAGCGCTCTTTAATAAAGAAGAAGCAGTATTACCGCTAAAATAATCCTAAAGAAATTTCATTCTGAATAAGCTCTCCCTGAGAATACGCTACGCAAAAATATTCAGTGCTATCTAATGCAATATACAATATTTTTGCTCCTTTATCATTTAACTTCTTAAATTACAAGTTACTTTTATTTTAAACAGGTTAGCCAAGGGTGGATTTTGGGCCCGGAACTGTGTGATATGTGGACCTCCAGCGACGTACTCTGCAGCTCTGCTTCAATTCTTCATCTTGTGGCTATTGCGACTGATAGGTAAGACGATGGACAATTAATAACTTTTTATTCTTCTATTAATCAGTATGTTTAATGCACTTGTTTTTTGTAATTTCTATCAATTCCTACACGGTCTCCTGCTAAGCAAGAGACACGTCCATGAAGCCAAAAACCGTCGTGTCAAATGCTTGTCGGGTGGAGACTTTTGGGTGTAACACTTTTTAAAGTTCAATGTTTTCGAAAATGTTTGTGAATCACCTTCGATGAGCAAGTTTTCTCACTTTATTCTGCTTTACTGTTCCTGATTGAAAGCACTCAACTTTTTTTAGGTATTGGGCTGTGACAAATGTGGATTACATCCACTTACGGAATGAGCGGCGCATCTTCACGATGATTGTCCTCGTGTGGGGCGCCGCACTCGTCGTGTCGCTCGCCCCGCAGCTCGGCTGGAAAGATCCTGACTACCTTGCCAGGATCACCCAACAACAAAAATGCCTCGTCAGCCAAGACCTAGCCTACCAGATCTTTGCGACAATGTCGACCTTTTACGTACCTTTGGCTGTGATCCTAATTCTGTACTGGAAGATCTTTCAAACTGCGCGCAGACGAATCCGAAGGAGACGAGAACCACCACCTCCTCGTCCTACTTCTGCGGATGGTCCAACCCCCACTGGACGACCAGTTCAGTCAGCAAGGGACCGACGCTTCGTTAAAAAGAGGTTTCTAAACTTGAAGAAATGTAATCAACGCACCCGAGCCGAAACTCTTGCAGCTGCTCTACTATTGACTGAGGGGCAGAGCACATCCACTGTAGACACATTGGACGAGGAGCCCCGAACAACAGCCTTTACTATCAACGAAAAAGCCCTATCCTCAGTCTCCCCAGAGAAGTCTTCCTCGACCGTCACTAATGGGTCGAAGCCGGAGCGAGCTATTGTTCCTGCTCAAACACATAGAGAGAAGAAAGAGTCCCTCGAAGCAAAGAGGGAGAGGAAGGCAGCCAAGACGCTTGCTATTATCACAGGAGCTTTCGTTTTCTGCTGGCTTCCGTTTTTCATAATGGCGCTGGTAATGCCTATTTGCCAGACGTGTGTGATCAGCGACTATCTCGCGAGTTTTTTCCTCTGGCTCGGCTACTTCAACTCGACTCTAAACCCTGTGATTTACACGATATTTAGTCCAGATTTTCGCCAAGCGTTCGCTCGGATCCTCTTCGGGACACACCGGCGAGGCCGCAATAAAAAATTCTAACGAAGATGTCCTTACTACATATATAACTGAGCTAATGCTCAATGGACTATGTTACTCTCCTTGTATATTTTAAGGCTTTCTGTATGTTATACATACTCGACGTTGGTAGTTAGTGTAAATACATTTAGTGAAGAGATTGTAAATAATATATAAAGGTATATTTATGAATATAGATAATGTTGAGGATTGTTTTTTTTACGCGTTATAGTCTATGCAGCCGTGACGGAGTCGCTCTAGAGTCCAAAGCGACTCCGTCGCCCGCTCTTATGTTGTTCAAGTGACATTACGAAATAAATATTTAAATTATATCAACATTACTAAGACTTTCATTACGCCGCCTTTGTTTATGTAAGGATCTTAAAAGCACTAATGATGCAAGCAATGATTTAAATTGTGAGTCATTTTAGAGTGTCACTATACCCTCACTATAGAGTGACAGCTTTGAAATTTATCTGTAGTGAAATTATATAAGCATTTCACAGTTTTCTCAAAGATACAGAACATTTTCTAGTTCTTAGGTTTTCGCGATTGCTTCACATTTGAAAAAACTAATAGCATTTCTTTAAACGAAGTTTTTGGGTTTTTTAAAAGGTATGGTCACAGGTGACAGAGTTCAACCAAATTTAACTTTTATTATTAAATGAATTGTATATTTTTATTCAATAGCTTCTACTAAATTGAGAATAAATTTCATAGTCAAGCCGATGAGAACCGAGTTAGGGTCTCACCACACCACCACACCTACTGACGTGGAATTGGCTTGAACTGATCAGAAAAAGCTTTATGCCGAAGCGAAACGCACAACGCTTTCTCCGACCGACTCTAGCCGATTTCGAGTCCGACCTGCGATTCCGCATCACTGCAGTGGCGCTACAGCCGCGCCATTACTAATTTTCAATGTTTAGAAGCGCAGCTGCAGCTTCACATACAAGGCGCTCTTATGGGGTGATTCCTCAGTCCGTGACGCGAGCCTTTGAACTTACTAACACACGACGGACCCTTAAGAGCAGGCCACACCGCGAACGAAGCTTGCTAACTTAGCTTCGCTCACGTAGTTGCATGCACTCAACTATGCCAGCTAAGCTAACTTAGTTGCATGCAAAATAATAAGCTACGAAAATACGTAGCAAGTAGTGACTGTGGGTACGTGCGGGGGTGAAGGGCGGCAGAGGGGCGATATATTTTACATAGCTAACGGGATCGCTGGGTTAGTTTAGTTAGATCGTCTAGCTCAGTTAGCAGAAATACGTGTATAGAAATAAAACTCAAAAATCCATAAATTATTTACACTACCAGCCTTCGGGCAATCAACATCTTGGAACCATAAAATTCTATTACCAAGATCGTAATTCATTACGACGCTGCCGTACACATTCATTATCTTTATACAAACAAATTAGATTAGCATATAATTTAATTTAATTTCATTCAAGGGAAATAAAACAACGTGCGTTCATCGGATATATCCCAACATAATTCGTTTATTCAGTGTAACGCGTGGTAATTGTACAGACGCACACAAAAATCGACTTAGAGCGGTTACACACGGCGCCGTTTTACAGCGACGCAAACGCGATGCAGTCGCTAATCGTCTATCTTTACACACACGCGTAATTTTAAGCAGCGACGCAAATGTGATGCAAGCGCGCGATTGCATCACTACACTTGGGATTTATAGGCGATTGCATCGATGCAGTAGCTCATTTGAATCGATGCAAACGCGCTCGTGCGCTACAAAATAAGATTTTTAGAAATCAGCGTCAAAAATTTCTGGAATTACATCTATTTGCCAAGTTTTATTGAATTTCGTTAACGGAAAATAAGTGAAATCCGATTAACCGTGTTCATCCCCTAATTTGCCACCCTTAGAGGTGAAATAATTTCTTCAAATTTGAATAGGACTTCCACTTAGGTACCCTTTTCCCTACAAAAATAGAACCATCGAAATCGGTTGTGTCGGAATAATCGCGTAACACACCCAAAGAAAAAAGAAAAAATTCATTTGAATTAAGAACCTCCTCCTTTTTTGATGACGCCTAATAAAATATTGTTGAACTAAAACGCGTAACTTTGCTTAAATACGTACAAATACAAATTTAATACATTGTGCCGGAAACAATTCAACTAGCTACAAAAATCTGTTTATTGAGTAGTATCGAGTTTTTAGATTTTAACGATTGCTACGCATTGAAAACGAAACTTTTTTCCTTATCTAAATCATGCACAAGTTTCTCAAACAAACCAACGTTTCGGTTTCTTTACAGATCCAATGTCCACAGCTGACTAGTGTTAGGTCATGGAAAAATTTCCATAATCATATTTTCTCAGAAAAATAAATATTTATCCGGATATTTTTCCAATACTTTTCCTTTAATTTTCCACATTTGACGTTAACACCTGTCAAAAGTTGAAGTTACAGAACAAAAACGATGGAGCCATTATAAAAAGGTTTTTTTTCGCTGTTGTAAAATCATTTTAAATCTCGTTTTTCTTTAAGTAGCTTTTAGCTATACAAGTTTATTTTGTAATTCACACTACATAAAACTTCAAAAGATATTTCTAAACGTAGAACATAATATCAGCCTTCGAAATTATATTTTTCCAATTTTGCAATTTTTTTCAATTTTCCGGAAATTTTTCCGTTAAAATTCCCACTTAGTATCTGAAATTTTTCAAAAAATTTTCCAAAATACGAGTGGCTGAGATAATAAAGTACCAGTTACGTCGAATATAAATGGAAATCACTCCTATTCTGAATTACAGTTACAAAATTGGAAATGAACCCATTTTTTAACCGACTTCAAAAAAATGGGAGGTTCTCAATTCGTCTGTACGTTACGCGATTACTCCGGCATTTGTGAACCGATCCTAATGATTCTTTTATTGGAAAAAGGGTGCTTCAGTATTGGTCCCATTTAAATTTGAAGGAAATATTCCACTTCTAAGGGTGATAAACTAGGATATGAAACCGCGCACTTTCCGCAAACCGATTGCAATAAAACTTGGCAAATAGATGTAATTTCAATAAAAAATCCGATAAGCACATTTTTGAGGCCGGTTTTTTTTAAGTTATAATTATTTCCGAATGTAAATGGCGCATATTTGTGTTTTTAAACCAACATACCGGGCTCTTTAGACATCCCAAAAAATACGTAGCTTCATTTCCTTTATGCAGCAATCGCGACACCGCACTACAAGCAGCACGCACTACTGTCACCATGGTATTTATTCACTTTTACGGCGCCTTCAAATTAGACGCTTGTAAGCGTAGCAGTGACGCCACAAAGGTGCTGCGGCAGCACCAATAGGCACTAATTTTCATACGATATTTGTAGCGCTTGCTGTACGCAAAACAGGACGCCTATACATTTCTTATTGTTTTAAAAATAATATAATACAGATGTTTATAATAATAATAATCCATTTATTTCAGACACATTCATCCATAATATTTGTTAGTAAAGAAAAATACTTAAGCTAGTGTTAGGTTTAAAATAATAAAATAAAACAAAATTGTAGGCATTACGATGGGAACATATTTCGGGACAACTGGCTACGCATTGGCAGTGTGCCAGCGCATCCACCGCCCCAGCATGATAGTTACGAAATGTTTAATGATTAAAAAAAATAAAAAAGAACTAAAAATGTTTCACAAATGTAAAAAAAGAACTAATTATCTTGTGTAGTCTGGTGGGCTAGCTTTACGTATTTTTAACTTTCGCGCTATTTTTTTAAATTTATGTTTTCTGTTTTATCAAAGCGGGACATTGTTAAGTATTTTAGGGACAGCGGGACACGGAGCTTAAAAGCAGGACCGCTCAAAGTTGCACGAATGTCACGTTAGGTATAACAGCCGCAATAAACCTAAGTACTTAATAGTCACAAAAAACACATTTACGCGACCTGGAATAAAAAAAAAATCTCAATTGCGTCGCCGCTCTTTGTTTATCAGTTAAGAAATGCTGCTTTGCGTATCTGTCCTCAGTTATCACAATTAATTTTAGTGCTAGTGGATAGTCCCCTTAGAAACGGGCGGGTAAACGTTTAATAATATTATTATTGTCTCTATCAGACGCAATGCGAGTGCGTAGGCAAGATAGCGCTCATATATTGTTTATATTACTCAGTTTGTTGCTTATTCATTTATACGTTGTATCTGTGGATAATAGTACATTGGGCAGTAAATAAGAAATTATGAAACGAGAATTTGTTAGAAGCCCGAAAGCTGCTGAGCTGGGGGCTTTAATTACTCGAGGTACAGACGCATACAGTCACAATGTATTATAATAATTTCTAATTTCTAAAAATACTGCGGAATATTAATTCACAAAATAAATGTAGTCAAATATTATTAACTCACACACTCAACATAGCCCCGCACTAGGGAAACCCTGTGTCGCGGGTGCCATGGACACACACAACCACAAATTACACCCAAACTCACGAGAGGAATAAATGTAGGCCATATAAATATTTCTCCCGGCTCGGTAATCGAAACTGGGACCTATGCGTGGCAGTCCGGCATGGTAACCGTTCGGCCACCAAGGCAGTTAATTAATTGCAAATGTTTTGTTTTTTTTTCTACACTTGAAGCTTTTGCGAAATATATTTAAGACGTTTTGAGCATAAACATTTTTTGCTTAATCTTTAAGAGAAGTTTCATGCTGATCTGGAACGAAAAGAAAAACATAGAAGGTATTAGCTGCTTACCGTCCCGCGCAATTTGTAAAAGTCGACTGAGGGATCGGGTTTAATAGTGTCCTATATGTAGGCGACAGGCTGGCAACCTATCACTATGCACTAAATTACACAAGATTGTATACAATCTTAACCCACACATTTGCTAAATGTGGCTTTAATTGCACCGTGTCACTTAAAGCGCTGCCTACCCCTATATGAAAACCCAAGGGCGTGAGAGTATTTAAGAGAAGTACAGTATGTATAAAATTTTAAATGTATTACCGCCCTTGGACAGTAATGTAATGAAAATACCCGTGAGCATAATTTAGGATATTACGGTTGACTATGCTTGCATATCAATGTCATGAATTCTGTTTGCGAGCAGGTGTGATGAAAAATTATATTAATATAACGAATCTTTCCCATCCATTCAAAAATTTGAATAAACTTGACGCTTCTTGATGGAAAATTATGACTTTTAGGCCTATATTATATATGTCGGAGTATTACCATAAGGGAGACATTTGAGGC